TATAGATCTGGAACTGGAATGACTTTTATTAAGTATGTTATTAGAGGATTTTGAAAACATTGTATACTATGAGAGTAATATGATAATAGCCAATGCGGTATACTAAAATGCATACATGAATAATTTGAATGATCGGAAGATGTGTGGAATTTGGGGGGACAATTGAGAAGACACCAAGACACACAAAAAACAAATAATTGTAAGCAACACATGTAACACAATGTTTGATAAGCATTGACCAAATGTAGATAAATTGAAAAACCAATAAAATGTATTTTTAAAAAAAGAATATGTTGCTCTTAAGTACAAGCATGGTATCCCGTTCCCATGTGAGTCTGTGTGAAATGGGAATTCAACGTTCAAGCCCCTTTCATGGAAGCCAGTGATTGTCTGGGGACAAAGCGTCCCTCTTTTCTAATTAGGGGGAAATGAGATCAAGGGATTTGCCCAGGGCTGCCAAGTGAGCCTGTGGAAGAGGTGTTACCCATAGGGTTAACAGCAATGATTTCTCAGCATGTTAAGGGATGGCTGTTCTAGCATTCCACTCTGGCAGATGTTTATGTTTTCTTGGCCTTGGTGGCGCCCTGGATATATGTGCCATCCTTCAGGAGCAATGGGGCTGTTTATTTGAGGCAATTAAATTAAAAAAAACACATTATATATAATTTGCTGAGTGTGCGTACCCACAGCTAAAGTGCCCTGGCTCAAGGGCTTTGCTAGCAGGTGATTCAGGAATGCCTGCAGTGGCACAGTGTCAGGAAAAGGAAAAACTATGGGAATTATTTGAGGCAATTAAATTTAAAAAAACACATTATATATCATTTGCTGAGTGTGCGTACCCACAGCTAAAGTGCCCTGGCTCAAGGGCTTTGCTATCAGGTGATTCAGGAATGCCTGCAGTTGCACAGTGTCAGGAAAAGGGAAAACCAAGGGAAAGGGGGTCTGGTCTGCTATTGGGAATGGGTGAAGGGGGATTTTGCATCCTAGGCGTGGCGTGGGGACTTTGGACCATGGAGGAAGGATGTAGACAGGCAGTAGACAGGTGGGTCTGCTCAGGGAAACACAAGGGATGTCTGGTGAAGTTTCATGCCCATTAAAAGGAGCTTGGAAAGGAAAGGTGACTATTTTGCGCTACACCTTGCAGTTTCTCCCAGTCCCCATGATCCATGACCATACTTAGTGGGGGATTCTGGGTGTTTTAGTCCAAAGGTGTAACTTCTCCAGGGAAGGGGAAAGAGGCACTAACTTTAAGGGCAATAAAATGTAGACTTGGCTGAATGAATGGCAAATGGCAAGCAAAGGATGGAGTGAGGCCTCTGAGAACTCTTTTCAGGCCCCAATTTGGAAGAAATAGCTCTCTGCCGATGAGGAGAAGGGAGGCAGAGGATGCAGGAGTGGGTCAGATAAGGTGATGGGAGGGGGAGGAAATGGGTGATAGGTAGTTGTAGTATAAGTGGGATGATGGGGAGAAGGCAGCTGACTAGAGATACTGAAGCACAGAGAAAGGGCAATGGTCTGACACTGCAGGGGGAGAGACAGGGCATTTCCTCTCCACCAGTAGCTCATATTCAGGTACCAGTGGACCCTCTACTTACGGAATTAATCCGTATTGGTACAGTGGCTGCCAGTCGACAAATCTGTTGAT